TCGAGGGTTTTGGGTTTAGGGTTGAGGCTTCGGGTTGAGGGTTCTGGGTTTAGGGTTGAGGCCTCTGGGTTTAGGGTTGAGGGTTTAGGGTTTAGGGTTTAGGGTTGAGGCTTCGGGGTTTAGGGTTGAGGGTTTAGGGTTTAGGGTTGAGGGTTCGGGGTTTAGGGCTTAGGGTTCGGAGTTCTTGAGTTTGTGTTTCTGAAACTTTGAAGCTCAAGGCTTGTAGGGCTCGGGGAGCGTTAAGCCCCAGGACTTTGCTTTAAGGGTGCTTCGGTCAGGGTATCAAGTTTGGTGCCCAATGGGCAGCCTTTAGGGTTTAGGGTTAGGGGTTTAGCGATTTACTTGGAGGTTCATGGGTAGTTATAAGTGGAGTTATAAGTCCCCTAATATGGGTTATAAGTATAGTTACCCTACTTATAACTCCACTTATAACTTCCCATGAACCTCCAAGTAGGGTGTATAGCCATGGAGTAAACCCTAAACCCTAAACCCTAAACCAGCCCGAGGCTGCTGGGAGCAAGGCGGCTGAAACCGTTAGGTTTTACGCGAAGAAGAACGGCAGAACCGGCCAGAAGGGTGAGCCAAGAAATAAACCCTGAACCCTAAACCCTAAACCCGAAGCCCAAAAGCCCTAAACCCTAAAGCCTAAACCCTAAACCCGAAGCCCAAAAGCCCTAAACCCTAAAGCCTAAACCCTAAACCCGAAGCCCTAAACCGTGGCTCTGACTGCTTTGACGGAAGAAACTCACAGGGTCAAAGCCGAAGCAGCTGCAGCTGAAGGATCGATATGAGAAGCAGGTGGAGCCTCGAAGTTTCGGGTTTTAGGCTTTAGGGTTTTAGGGTTTAGGGGTTCAGGGTTTAGGGGTTTAGGGGTTTAGGGTTTAGGGTTCTTTGTTTAGGGGTTTAGGGTTTAGGGGTTTAGGGGTTTAGGGTTTAGGGTTTAGGGTTTAGCAGCGCCAGGATGGTGCAAGGACCGAGGCTCGGATTCTGCGGGAGGCGAGAGAGCTGTAAGCCGCTGTACCTGGGAAAATCAAAGACTTCTCCGATGCTTCGATCGATCGTGCATATATCATAAAGGGTTCGGCTCCTTCAGATCCTTATAAAGTTGGAACATATCGTCCTCATGGCATTAAGGTGAAGTAGAAGGGATCCTCCTAAACCCATGTCCAGCTTTCTGGGCTTCGCTGCAAGTTTCCAAAGGTTTTCGTGTTCTAGGATGTTCTAGATTTCAGGGTTTCGTCGCCTAGGGCTTTTGGTTTTTAGCCTATAAGTATGGGTGAAGTGGTATTTTCAGCTGCAGTTGTTTACGGGCAGAAGGGCTGTAATTGGTGGGTTACATGGCAATGACTGATCGGCTGTAATGCTTCTTCTCATTGCAATGATAAGCCATAAACCCTAAACCCTAAACCCTGAACCCTAAACCCTAAACCCTAAACCCAGAAGAGCCGAAAGGGGGGACGAAGAGCCAGACGAGCCTGGTTGGCACGAAACTGGCAGCCAACCGTTTTGCCATAGAGAGGGGGTAGTTCGAATACGAAGAACAGGAGGAATGGGTAACAAGAGTAATGCCAATTGGTGCAAATTCCCGACATGATCAGAACATAGTGTTGCCAGAGTAGAATGAAGGGTAGTAGCAAGACTTAGAGACACCGGAGTATGAACAAGAGCACAGCAGTGCTGGGCTAGTACCACGGTTGTGTTGCGAAATACCCTAAGCCCTAAACTCTAAACCCCAAGCACTAAAGCCCTAAGCCCTAAACCCTGAACCCCTAAACCCCAAGCCCTCCACCCTAAACCCCAAAACTCCACCCTAAACCCCCAAACCCTAAACCCTAAACCCTAAACCCTCCACCCTAGACCCTAAAAGCCCTAAACCCAAAACCCTAAACCCTGAACCATAAACCCTAAACTCTAAACTCTACAGCCCTAAAACCCTAAACCCTAAACCCCAAAGCCCTAAACCCTAAACCCTGAACCATAAACCCTAAACTCTAAACTCTACAACCCTAAAACCCTAAACCCTA